ACTGTACCAGGAGAAGGTGTTCTGCTTCATCCATCTGAGTGTTCAGGAGTTTCTGGCTGCTCTTCATGTCCATCTGACCTTCATCAATTCTGGAGTAAACCTGCTGGAAGATCAAACAACCCTGAAAAAGTACAAATTCTTTAACAAACCAAACCTTCAATCTCTCCACCAGAGTGCTGTGGACAAGGCCTTACTTAGTTCAAACGGACACCTGGACTTGTTCCTCCGCTTCCTCCTCGGTCTTTCACTGCAGACCAATCAGACTCTCCTACGAGGCCTGCTGACACAGACAGGAAGTAGCACACAGACCAATAAGGAAACAGTCCAGTACATCAAGAAGAAGCTCAGTAAGAACTTGTCTGCAGAGAAAAGCATCAATTTGTTCCACTGTCTGAATGAACTGAATGATTGTTCTCTAGTGGAGGAGATCCAACAGTCCCTGAGTTCAGGAAGTCTCTCAACTGAACTGTCTCCCGCTCAGTGGTCAGCTCTGGTCTTCATTTTACTGTCATCAGAAAAAGATCTGGATGTGTTTGACTTGAAGAAATATTCTACTTCAGAGGAGGCTCTTCTGAAGTTGTTGCCAGTGGTCAAAGCTTCCAACAAAGCTCTGTAAGCTGTATGTTACTTTATTGAGAGGTACCTTAGGGTTCTGTTGATCCTTGCAGACAAAGTGGTTGCTGGGATCAGTTAGCGCAGTTGTTTCCAAACTTCTTTTTCCTAGCCCCCCCCTTTGTTTTACAAGAAACCCACCCTTGCCCACTTCCCACCAAAAAAGCACAAACACATCAACACACCCGCCCATATTCTGCAACTCCATTGCTGTTTATTTGACACCTCCAACCTTCTGTAAACAATGAAACAAATAAAAGTAAACCGACATAGGTTACAGGTTGCAATAAAAAAAAAACTTCTACCTATTTTTAAATAACAGAAAAACAAACCATGTTTGTGGTGTAATTATTCCGTATGTAGTTGTTTGTTTTTTATGTGTAATTATATTCAACATTGCTATCAGTATATTTTTCAAAAAAATCCCTCTCTGTGCAAAATGTGTTTAAAAACAGAAAACATCTATGGGATACTGTTTATCTGTGATTTGGACAGCCCATAGAATGCTCCCGATGGAGGGGAAACAAATTCTGTTGAGGATATCTTACTTGGTACTAGGTTTGGGGATATCGTCACTGATTTCTATAATTAACTGGATTTTGATTTAATTCAAGGACAAAATGCAGAAAGGCATGGAGATATTCCTGTCCTGGCTTTTAATAGGAGATAACCTTAAAAATATTCTGCAGTAGAACAAAAACTAAAGAAAACCATGAATAAACATTTGAAAATTACCTGATGCTTCTGAAGTGAAGCAGAGCAAAGCTGTAGAGATTTTATTAGGGATACATCGAAGGGTTTTGCAATTTTGCCTCATTTGAAAAAGTAAAACTTTCTTCAGTGTTGAACAGCAGAGATGTGGCTTTTTTATCAGAGGTCATTTAAAACAAACAAACAAAAACAGTAGTGGTCAACAGCTCTGAAGACAACTGTAGACTTGTGCATACTAAGCAAGCAAATAGTGCAAAAAAAAAAAAAGAGATTTTGAGATTTAGGAAACTTTTCCTTAGGAAATGAAATGACTTTTTTGAGAGTGTCACAATCTGCAGCGATTGAGTCAGCCAATGTGCTACAGAGTCTCGACAGACCAAGTGATGAATGGGAGCTATGCCCAATTTGCCCAGCATAGCATAGCACAGGTTGATCCTCTTCCTAATCACATTTTCAAAATCTTGGCTCACGTGATTAGGTAGAGGATCATTAGGGGGTCCATCGTCCCTCTCGGTACATTACTCCCACAGGGCTTAAATCTGGGACTCTCCACCATTTGACCCTAGAACTGAAGAAGCTTCTCGGATGAGAGGTGAAACATCTTCAAGCAACTTAAAGAAGTCCAGATGCTTTTCTTTCCAGGCTCCTTAGACTTGATGCAAAGTTGTTTCTTTGGTTTAACCCTCTGGGGTCTAGGGTATAATTGACAATTTTTGACTACTTTTGATTTGACCTGTATATTTCATCCTTAAAAACTGTTCAGCTTGCTTTGTTTGATATAATTATTTTCAGCAAAACCTCAAATGTCTGAATTTGGAGGGTTTTTTTTTTTCATTTTGACATAATGTATTAACGCATTTAAATTCAAACAAAAAACATAAAATCTGAGCAGAAAAAAGTTATAGTTTTTTCTGTAAAAACCACAAACATGTTTATTGAATCATTTTAATAGCTTGAAATGCAAATAGAAATTGTACATTTTTTTAAAATTATGCATAAGATTTGCAAACAATTACGTTATATGGTACTATTTACCTAAAAATGCAGCCAAGGTCTCAAGCGTTTTTATATAACCATTTAAAACTATCTACAGAACCATCAGGTGTTCTGCATCAAATGAGAAAAAGACAAAATATTTATGCAACTCCAAAAAATTGTGTCTCTCCACTATAAGACATGGGAGAACACCACAGGCCGAGACCCTGGAGGTCTGACACCAGGAGGTGTATCACACCTCCCATTTTCTAGCTTGAGACGGGGCTTACACTGCAGTTTGTCTTTGATGGCTCTTTTGCACAGTCACAACTGTGACATTCAGCTGTATAACTGGCACACAAAACAAAACAACGACAACACTACATACTAACTATAGCCTCCAAACACACTGAATGTCACTAATCTCTCACGTGTGAAAAGTTGCTGTCTCTCTTTCGCTCGCTTGCTCTAGCTCACCGGAGTCACTCATAAAACTTTCCCTTCTTCCTAAACATCCAAATGCCAGATGTTTCCATATAATTTTTTGATTGGTTGACATAATAGACTTTAACACCAATAGGGAAGGAAAGGGGTGTTTAAAAAAATGTATATATATTTTTTTACTCACAAGTGGAGCATGTTTGCTAGCGCTGTCTCTAGAAAACGCTGTTTTTTACCATTTCTTCCTGCTGTAAACCTTACTGTTTCATTCAGAAAAAAACATTGCGTGTATTTTTGATCATAACTCTTGTTTTATCTGGCATCATAACGGCAACATGATTTAAAAACTGGTATATAGTTTGAAATCTGTGCTTCTGACACAAGTTGAAACCGAGCCTCTGTGTCACTGCATCTTGTTGCTGTGCCATCTTTAATGGGTCATGTGATTTTGACGCGCCGGCGCATCTGTCGACTTCAGAGGGTTAAGTATAAAGTAGATGATTAGCAAATTAGTTGAAACTATGTCAATCATCCCCACCTGGCTCTATCCCTAAAAATGAATTCACTGATATCTTCTGGAATAAGAAATAATGTCCTCTTACTTCCTATCATTGTTTTTTCAGACTTAATGTCTGTAACCTCTCAGAGAGAAGCTGTGAAGCTCTGTCCTCAGTTCTCAGTTCCCAGTCATCTAGTCTAAGAGAGCTGGACCTCAGTAACAACAACCTACAAGATTCAGGAGTGAAGATTCTGTCCATTGGGGTGAAGAGTCCACACTGTAAACTAGAAAGTCTCAGGTCAGATGAATATATATGGAATATATATGATATGGAATTGCTTTTTCTGTTAATTAAAAAGAATCACTATGAAAGCTTCACATAAAGGTGAAACTCCAAAAATTAAATATCATGCAAAAGTTCATTTATTTCAGCAATTCAGCTTAAAAGGTGAAACAAATGTAAGATATAGACTCATGTAATATGCAAATTTTCCAAGATTTTACATTTGCGGTTTTCATAAGCTGTAAGCCATAATCACAAAAATTCTAAGTAACAAAATCTTTAAATATTTTGGTTTGCCTTTGATGAGTGTATATCATCTATTACTTTCACCTTTTAAGTTGAATTACTGAAATAAATAAACTTTTGTATGATATTCAAATTTATTGAGTTTCACCTGTATGTGTTGTTTTATTTTTTTGTTTAGAACTTGGCTGGTATCCTTATATTAAATATTCAAGTGAGGAGTGAAGTCAGAAAATGATTCCTGTTACCAAATCTAGTAACTCCTCTATATACCATGAAGACACTTTAACACCAGCGTTGTTTGTCTCTGTGGCTTTTCAGACTTAATGTCTGTAACCTCTCAGAGAGAAGCTGTGAGTCTCTGTCCTCAGTTCTCACCTCCCAGTCATCTAGTCTGAAAGAGCTGGACCTGAGTAACAACAACTTACAAGATTCAGAGTGAAGATTCTGTCTGTTGGGGTCAAGAGTCCACACTGTAAACTCGAAACTCTCAGGTCAGATGAAGTGATATGGAATTTTTTATTTGAATTAAAAAATGATCACTAAGAATTTGAGCATTAGATGTGTGTTGTTTAATGTTTTGTGTATTAGTGTAATATTTCTAATTTTCTGACTTGACTGCAAATTTTACTTTTCACTTATGTTAAATAATCAAATGAGCAATGAAGTCAGAAAAATACATATTGCCAAATCTATTAACTCCTCTTTTATAGCTCCTCACTGCATCATGAAAGCACTTTTATACCAATGTTATTTCATGATTTCACAATGGGTTTTATAATTTTTTAGACTAAGTGGCTGTAAACTCTCAGAAAGAAGCTGTGAAGATGTGTCCTCATTTCTCAGCTCCCAGTTCTGTAGTCTGACAGAGCTGGACCTGAGTAACAACAACCTCAATGATTCAGGAGTGAAAATGCTGAAGAGTCCAAACTCTACAATTATCAGGTCAGAAATTGTAAAAATGAAACCACCTAAATGCCATCATGCTTTCAGATCATCATTAGTACTCCTGAGATGTCTCAATGAGCAAGTCAAGCATTTCCATCTATTTTATATGTGTGTGTGTGTGTGTGTGTGTATGTATGTGTATATATATATATATATATATATATATATATATATATACACATACGTACATACATACATACGATAGTGCTGTCAATAAATGTGAATGGTGTGTTGCAAGCTGGGCGACGAGTCAAAGTCCTAGCAGCATCCCTGACTAACGTTTGCTTCGCGTCAATGTGATATTTTAAGCTGGAAGTGCTTCGATGAAAAGAAAATTTCTTCCTCAATAACATGCATGTCACTTTATGTCGGCTGACTGTTCCGTTTTGTTATTTTTTTTAATACTCAAATTTCCCATCGAGAGGGCCAGTGTGTATTTATCATCGTTCATATTGGGTTGATTGGCTCAGCTGCGTATCACTAACAGATCAACTGCCCATTTGTGCATGTGCGATGATAACTCTACATGGACAAACTGCCCAAAATGCGTTGACAGAAACATTTAAGGGATTTTCAGTCTGTCTGCGCTCCAGATGTGTTAATTGCGATTAAAAAAATTTAATCATGCTCACAGTGATGGCTGATTAATTTGCGTTAACGTGTTAATTTTGAGTGCTCTGATATATAATGTTTATAATGTCTTATGAATATAAATAATTTATTTTAGCCACATCAGTTTATTTGTTGGCAGTTTTCTTTTTGTTATATTGTTCACATGCAAAGTAAAAAAAAAAAAAGTTAAATAATACATGCCCACCATGTACACACACGCAGAAGCACACATATATATACATACAGCCATGTATATATACCCATATATCAAAACAAAAAGAACAGACAGTGCTGAAAAACAGGTACAATGCAGTGAGAAAATTGGTTTTAAGTTCATCAGGGCTGCAGGTTGGATTTTTTTTTCCAAAGATTCCAAATAGAAGTCAGAGAGGCATCAAATAATATGGCGTAGTAATGAGCTCTGTCCTTTTCTCTTCAGTCTTAGATAATTTGACATCCACATTCCACATTTCCAATTTCTTACTATTTTTCCTGTATATTTGGGTTCGTTAGGCTTTTTTTTTTTAAATATAACAAAAGGATCAGTCCAAATTATGAGCAGTTTGATCCACATATGGATTGAAAAGGTTGGACTGTTCCTTTATCAGTGTCTAACAGTGGTGGTGTCCAAATTAATAGGCTCTATCCTCCTGAGAACCCGGGCTTCGCGAAATATGACAGTGTATCCTTCAGATTTGCACCACCAGCTGTCTCGGTGGAGTGTAATGAACTCAGCCATCATCTACTTGCTTTCTAAAATATAACAGGACACTGGCGTAAATTCTCGATCATGCCACACTTCTGTTTGATCAGTGTTTCCGTTTGACATTTATTCAGCTGTAATCGCAGCCAAACCGATTTACTCACAAACAAAATAAAACAGTGAAAAAAGCCAAACAATAACATTTTTAAGTTATCTAAGTGCTTTATATATCATGTTTAACCTGAGTAGCAAAACGCAGGGGTTTGAAAACAATGTGCCGGTAGGTCGCTGTTCTCGCCGGCTCTAGTGAGCTATCGAGCTGGTGGGTAAAAGACGTCTCTGAAAACCTCAGAGCACCTTTGTAAATATATGACATCTTCATAAAATGAGCAGATATTTGAAGTTTACTAAATTCTCGCCTGAAAATATCTTAAAAGTTTATTTTGTGACCCAGAAAGAGAAATGAGAGTAATATTAAAACTAGTTTGCTACCGCCATTGTTGGAAGCTGGAATTGGCAGGGCTACGCTATGAATTCTGGGATATGGTGGGCTACGAAGGATACACCTGACCATCCTTCAAATCTGGGGAAAAGGAGACGTAATTGGCTTACAAATGCGGCCTCAGGAGGATGCAGCATATGAATTTGGACACCCCTAACATGTGTATGAGAGCCATGTAATATCCATGCGTGCATGCTAAAGAGACTGTGCTGGTCTGACCCCCCTCCTCCTTTCAGGGTGGAGCCTGCTGGAGTCCGATGGTTGAGACCAGGTCTGAAGAAGTGTAAGTATGATTTTAATGTGATTCATGAAAACAAAGCAGCACACATTCAGCCATCTTCAAACTGTCACATCACTCATTCACATCTCTGATGTCAGAAGTCATCATCAAAGTGTCAATCAATGAACAGATGATGGATCAATAACTGCAGCTGGATTGTGTTTGTTCTCTCCATCAGATTCCTGTCAACTCACAATTGACACAAACACAGCACACACAAACCTCCAACTGTCTGACAACAACAGGAAAGTGACACATGTGAAGGACGTTCAGTCATATCCTGATCATCCAGACAGATTTGAGCATTATCATCAGCTGCTATGTAGAAATGGTCTGACTGGTCGCTGTTACTGGGAGGTTGAGTGGAGAGGAGACGTTTATATATCAGTGAGTTACAGAAGAACCAGAAGGAAAGGACGCAGTAGAGACTGTGTTTTTGGGCACAATGATCAGTCCTGGAGTCTGGACTGCTCTGATGATGGTCCTCAGTGTGTCTGGCACAATAACGGACAAATATCCATCTCCTCCTCATCCTCTGTCTCTAACAGAGTAGCAGTGTATATGGACTGTCCTGCTGGCACTCTGTCCTTCTACAGAGTCTCCTCTGACACTCTGATCCACCTCCACTCCTTCAACACCGCATTCACTGAAACTCTTTATCCTGGATTTAGACTTTGGTCTCCTGGTGCCTCAGTGACTCTGTGCTGAGTTGAGTGTAAAGAGTGTCCTCTGGTTAGAGAAACACTCTGACTGTTGAACTGATAGTTTAGTCTGTACATGTCTGTCTCTTTCACTCAGAAACACGTTGTCAGATTCATGGATTCAGTTAGTTGATGTTTTAAACTGTTCTACATGTTGTTTTTCTGTCTTTTTCCACTCAAAGCTTCACAGTGAGTATCAGTATGTTGTATTTTTCTGAAGCCCAGTTCACAACCAGCTGCTCTGCATTTTCAACCAGTCTGAGTGCATTAAAATGAATCCAAACTTTCCACATGCTTTTACTGTTTCACTCATTGTTGAAAATGTTTCCGACATATAAGATGAAAATGTTGGCGCAATCGTTTTTAATGGAGTTTGTTTGTTTTGTGATAACGCATGTGACTTGTCTAATGACTAGCAAAGTCTTCATTAAACATGTAAAACTAGTCTTGTCTTTGATGGTGTCATTTATCTCTGTCAGGTCTTTTAAAAATTACCAGTGTGTTGTGCTGGTGCTCTATTAGAGACCCCAACAGAGCCACCAGATGTCCTTACTGTAGTGTAGTGAAGTAGATTTTGGGGTAGGATTTTACATGATGTCTGCAAATGCAGTACTAACATCCACACCTTCCCAGCTGATAATTAGCAGCCTTATAAGAAACAGCTGCGCTTCACTACTACACAAAGGCATTTGGCAGTCTTTTTCCATCCAAGCTGAGTGCGTTAGGCAACTAAGCACTGCAGATCTCCTCAGGAAAGATGCTCATTTTAGTATTGCCCTTTAGATAGTGGTAAATGGGATGGCATATAGTAGGGTGGACCTTGACAACTGTTTCCCTCTTGTTACAGGATCATGCCATACTGCTGCTGTCTTGTTTTATTCCGTTCTATGGTGATGGTGAGATGAAGCCTCGTGATGAACTGAAGCTTTCCACCCAATTGGTCGACTCATGGTTCAAAGCATTGTGATGATTCATTTGCTCTACTGCGCCATCAAGTGGACAATTCAAGTGAAGTGGGCTCTGTGATTATAATGATATGTAAACCTCTAAACTGAATAAATAAATTGTTTTCATGGTTATTTCTCCCGAATATTGTCTCAGTGTGTGTGATACAAAAGCGAAAGTGGAAACTATCAGGACAGAGTTTTGGTATGATTGTGTAACTGTAAGCCTCAGACAGTCAGTCAGTAGTATAATTAAGACCATAGATCAGTACATTTGCATATTTTTATAACTATAAAAAGAAAGCTGACACTTTTGAGACTTTATCTAATGTGTAAGCATCATAGCAGATGCCCTAAACGTAGCTGAGGCTAAAACAGAAAAACGATTTTATAAAAATATTCAGCAGTAGATCAAAAACAAAAGAAAACCATTAATAAACAAATGAACATTACCTGATGCTGCTGAATTAAAGCAGAGCAAATTACAGAGATTTTATTAGAGACAAACCTTAGCATTTTGCAATTTTGCATAATGTTAAAAAGTTTAAATTTGTTTAGTAGCCTACTGAACGGCAGAAATTAGGTTTTCTTTTCGGAAGTATTTAAAAGGAAAAAAACAGCAGCTGACAGCGCTGTAAACAACGGTAGTTGTATGCGTAAAAAACAAGCGAATAAAGCAGAAAACAGATTTTTAGACGGGAAAATGTTCTGGAAGTATACTGTGTGTTGGTGTGTGTGTGTGTGTGTGAGAGAGAGAGAGAGAGAGAGAGAAAGAGAGAGAGAGAGAGTGTGAGAGAGAGAAAGCTGTGCATGAAGTGTGATTTTATCCTGGTGAAAGCAAAACAGCAAAAGTCAAAGGAAATTCATGACAATGTTTATGTGAAGCATAGTTTGGATCTCCTTTTGCTGCTGGTTCGGTCAATATTGTTTGAAGAGAAATAAAACCTGCAGCTTCAGAATCAGCGCAAAAAAGGCGTAAACACGAAGCACGGACCCGCCGACGGATCAGAATCAGTGAGCTGTTGGCTTTCAGCCCCGACTGTGTCCGTGCCGTCTGGTGAGAAAGCCGACATCTCACTGATTCTGATGCGTCAGCGGGTCTGTGCTTTGTGTTTATGTCTTTGTGCAGAATCGGTGTTCCTGCTCTCATTTACTGTTTTAGCTATTTGGTGGTTGTTGAAATGTAGTAATATTTATATTAAAAATCGATTCAGTATTTTAATGAATCGATATCACGTTATCCAAGCTAGAATCGATTATAATCGATAATCAAATCCCGCTCCTAGTAACTGTGTAATTATGCTTATGTACATCTGGATAATGACACAAACTAGTGTTTGGTGCTTCACTTTTTAATAAACTAAAATCAGACACTTGCCAATTGACCAGACAGAAATCAGATTATAGGATCTGTAGTGTTGTTTATTTATATTATGGTGCTTATCATTTGTGATATTTATTACTGTGTGCATACTTTATTAGGAGAGATGAAATTTAAAAAAATTGCTTCCTTGCTGGTTCCATCGAAGAAGAAATGCTCAAGTAACTATGTAACACGTACGTAGTCCAATTCCACAACACAATGTGATGGAAAATCAGCTGCGTTTTGCTGCCCATTTTATTTCAAATCTGGCGCGAACCAGTGAACCGATCCCTGAATCAGTCACGTGGTAGGGACTGTCCGCGAGGCCTGGAACGTCACTGCATATGTAATCAAAGCAAGCCTCGATATGCGCTTCACAAAAACGCCCCTGAGATTACACACAATTTGACGCTTCGAAACACAGGACACATCACTACCATTCTGTCCTGTTTTGTTTTATTCTGTCTTGTTGTGGCCTGTTATCTTACAACCGTTTATGGACTGGCCTCGACTGACTCCTGGTTTTATGGGGTTTTTTTACTCTGAATTTTTATACATTTTAAACATGCTTTTATGAAGAACTGTAACTTAGGGTGTATTTGTTTTATTTATCTCTTTTAATATTTTTTTTACTGGTTTATGCTTTGTTTTATTGCTTTAGTGAAAGGTTCTGCTTTTTCCTTTAATTTGTCACAGAGTGTCAGAAAAGCCGAGGCTCTCTGTCAGTCCTTTGAAGAAGACGGTCCCAGATGTGACTAAACCAGGTGTGGGCCACTCCAGGCCTCAAGGTCCTGTGTCCTGCAGGTTTTAGCTGTGTCCTTGATCCAACACAGCTGATTTAAATGGTTAAATTACCTCCTCAACATGTCTTGACCTTATCCAGAGGCCTGGAAATGAGCTAATCGTTTGATTCAGGTGTGTTGACCCAGGGTGAGATATAAAACTTGCAGGATACCAGCTCTCGAGGCCTAGAGTTCCACACTCCTGCTGTTGTGTGTAAAATGTGATGCCAGTGAGACATTTGAAGTGAGCAGGGAAACTGGAAAAGATTCTGCAGTGTCACAAACAGCTCACAGCCAATGAGCTCTGCTCTTTATATCCTCCTTCAGGCGGCCGTGCCGATCAATAATTGGACAGATGCTTTCAGCTCTGCTCTCACTGCTAACATTGTTTCTGGATGTGTGTTTAAAGCCAGCTATCTCTGTCATCAGTGAGCTGTAGGCTGCAGCAGAGTATAGATGTATGATATTCATGAGTGTCTGAAAGAAACTGAGGACATTTATAGATCCTAAGGCCCATTTAGAGTCTCCTCAACATGAAATCCAGCTTCATGTTTGAAATCCAGCTCCTCCTTCAATGAGGAGAGCAACATTTATTATGTTGATTATCAGCAGAAAGGAAGAACCAATCATTCCTCAGATTCATGTTTATCCACATTATCAATAAAACAAAAAGCATAAAAAGACATTTATCAATATTCTGAGCATTTGTTTCAAAGCAAAATGAGCAGAATTAAAGCGCTTTTTATACGTTTCACTTTTTTAGGTTCACAGAGTCAAATTTAACTTAAAAGTCAAAACAAAGAAATCCCAGATTTCCATCTTAATGAATGAAATGACTTAAAGTCAGTCAGCTGTTTTCTGCTTTATACTCTTACTTGTTGTGTTAGTAAAGTACATTTAAAAGTTATTTTAAGTAATCCCTCCCTGGAACAACTGCAGGTTGTTCAAAATGCTGCTGCTAGGCTTCTGATAAAGCATCACAAATACTCCCATGCCACTCCCCTGCTGATTCAACTGCATTGGCTCCCTGTCAAGTTCAGAGCCCATTTTAAGATCATAATCATGACTTATAGGGCCCTGCACGGTGTAGCTCCAACTTACATAAGTGATCTTCTTCTTCCTTATCACCCCAGCAGGTCCCTGAGGTCTTGTGACCAGGGGTTGCTGGTTGCCCAGCATACGAGGTTAAAAACAAAAGGTGACAGAGCGTTTGTATCAGTGGCTCCCAGACTCTGGAACTCGGTCCCTTTGAGTTTGAGATCTGTGGACTCAGTCATGTCTTTTAAAAAGCAGTTAAAAACAGATCTGTTTAAACTCGCTTTTGGTTGATTTTGTTTTGTTTGAGATTTTAATGTCTGTTTTCTGCCTCTGTAAAGCACTTTGTGATTTTCTCTTGAAAGGTGCTATATGAATAAAATTTTACTTTTTACTTTACTTTACTCAGCGTCACTCTGAGCCAGTCCGAGCAGTCAGACAACATATTTTGAGCCCAGTACATGAAGGTGTGGCTCTCTCACACTTTTCAGGTGGAGTCCCGCCTCCTTCCAGGGAGCAGCTCACCTGTTTGTCTGTGTTTAGTGTCCAGGTGTGGAGTGGAGCTTGTTGTTCGTGTCTCTGTGTGAAGAAACTGTAAGTTTGCTTTCTTTCCTCCTTTAACAGTTTGAATGTTTTTTTCTGCTCTGTGATGTTTGGACCAGATGTTCAGCTCTTATTTCAGGATAAACTTTAATCACTCTTGTGTTTGAAGACAAATCCACATGATTATGGATTATTCATAGTCAGTAACTCTGTACTGAAACATTTGTTACTGTGAACAACAATTTTAATCGGTCTCTGTGAAACACTGATCAGTAATCTGATGTAACATTGACCTTCCTTTAAATAAAATCATTTTGTTCTTAAGAAGTTGACATTTACGTTTTACTGAAGTGACATAAAAAAAAAAAAAACATGACGTAAGGCAGGTCCAGTTCATTTCAGGGTTACTACAAGCAAAGTCAGTCAGAAGAAAATATATATTTTCAGAAACACAATGAGTATTTAGGCATGTTTAAAATCCTGTACCTACTGATAATATCTGCATGTGGAGGTTTACATGCATAATGTGCAGAAAACTCTCTGAGAAAAAAAGTTTTTGAACTTTTTATTGTGTTCCATTGTTTTCATGTTCACTTTGTACTCAGTTAGTTCTCCTGGATTTGGTTCCAAACCTTTTCCAACTAATGCCTTGAATCTTATCTTAAATACAATTACAAAGTTACATAATGGTATGTCAAGATGAATTGATACATGTTAAACTTAGTTTGTTGTAATTAAGTACTCTTAGTGAGTCATAAAGTTAAAGTTAAAGTTTCCCAGCCTGAAACACATTTATAGCTCCTTACACCTCACACAAGAATGTGTGAGGTGTAAGGTTCAGAATCCTGATTCTATTTAAATTTGTTGAAAGGTAAATACACATTAACTGTTAAAGAAGGTTGTTTGCTGTTTTGTTGCCTTTTAGGAAATTTGTTCCATGGATAAGAGGAGATTCATTTAACCCTTTGTCTGTGCTCTGTAGCAACTTCATTATTCTATAAAAATACATTTTTAGAGTAGGTATATGTAAAGGTTAACATCACCACACAGGACACAATGAGAAACACAAATAATCACAAATGAACATTACCTAGTGTTATCTGATATCAGAGTCCTTATATATCAGGGACTCAGTGAACTCTGTCTCTTGTAATTTAGTTGGAAATGTTCAGGTGTGAAGACCTAAACCACTTTAACAGAATCGGATGGTTGTGTCCAGATGATCAGGTCTGAGACCTAGTTGTCTCCTGGTCAGCAGAGTTGAGGACCTATAAAGCAGGAAGCAGCCTGTTGATGTTTTCATGTAACAAGGACTCAGATTTTTTAATAACAAACAGAAGGGAGGATTAAAAAACAGAAAGAACAGAGTGGAATATCATTTTAATAACCTCGTCAATAGTCAGACACATTCAGACATGAGGAAATGTTCAGGTAAACAATCCCCTGCTGACAGGTGATGATTGAGGCGTCACAGAAACTGTTGGAACAGAAACAGCTGAACAGGACATGAGACATTTTTATTTGCTTTACCTACATAAAATAAATCTGACGTATGATTTAACATATAAATCAAATATACTAATGTGTGTTAGTGTTCAAACAGGTCTGTTAAATAACATGTTGTTACTGTTGGTGCCTCACAAAGATCAGCTGTGCTGCAAACTGAAACTATGCTGTGTGCAGTTACCAGTTTTTCTAGTTTAAACTTCAATGAAAATTATTTCCTTGGCTGAAAACACCAAACATCATAAAAAGCAGTTTTGTTTCTTACAAATATGGTGGAAAACAAAGGAGGGAAATAATGCTGACTTGGAAAGTTTTAGAGTTTTTAGTTTGTATCACTTTGAAAGACAGCCGTTAAAAGTATGTTGTTTTACCACTACCAAGCTATGTTAATTTTAACAATGATGTATTTTTCAAAGAACTTTACTCATAATTATAATTTTGGAGAAAGACAGAAAGTCATTTCCTTATGTTAATAAAATGAAGCCACTTAGAGAGAACAGGGAAATGAGACAAATTTAAATCTGACATAAATGATCAGAAATTTATCTTAAAATCTGCTTCCTCCTCCTTGCACCTCTCCTGCTTCAGGTGGAGTCCCGCCTCCTTCCAGGAAGCAGCTCACCTGTGTTCGTGTTTAGTGTCCAGGTGTGGAGTGGAGCTTGTTGTTCATGTGTGTGTTTGAAGAAACTGTAAGTTTGCTTTGTTTGCACCTTAAAACAGTTTGTCTTTAGTAGTGCAACAGGGAGGGAGACATTTCTGTTTACTTCACATAACGTAAATCTGATGTATGATCTGAAATAATGTGTAAATGAAATAAACTGATGTGTTAGTCTTCATATAGCTCTGTTAAATAACATGTTGATACTGTCGATCTTTGAAAAGGATCAGGTGTGCTGCAAACTGAAACTATGCTGCAGGCAGTTAGCCGTTTATCTAGTTTAAACTTCCATGAAGAATGTTTCCTTCACTGAACACAACAAACATCATTTAAGGCAGCCTTGTTTCTCATGAAAATGATTTCAGATTCTCCAACAAGTTTTTAAACAAGGTTTTTTCCCTTTATGTTCTCAATCCTTCTATATCTAATATCTGTATGTGTCTGCATCAACATGACACACAAACAAATATCCAAAATCTGCAGCAGATATTATCAGAGAGCTGCTGAACATGTTTTCATGTTAGTATCTGTATCATCCATGGAAAAAGTACTAATTCAGTTCACCAACCAGGTCCAGGGGAATGACTGCAATATTTCCCAAACAGAGCCATCCAATAACAAAAGAGAGAATTATTTCTCTTTTTGAATTTGTTTCTGCTTAATTAGCAATCAATAATTGAACATAAATATACACTCAAGTAGGTAATAAAATCATCAAACTAAATTGACAAAATTAAACACCATCAAACAAAAATAGAAGTAAATGAGAGTATTGGCACAATAAAAGCAATGATTTTATGTCAAACTACAGCTGAACACCAATGAGATTGAGCAGGTTTTTAAAAGTTTTTAAATTAATGAGCAATTGGGCTGCTCATATGATAAGGGGCAGGTTAAAGGTCAGAAGCCAAGACCAAAAAGACTCTATCAAAATAAAAACAAAGTATTCTTATTTTGAAAACTGCTGCACACATTATTCCTGAACTTACATAGACAAAATGTCACTTCTTATTTATCTCATTAGCAGTAAATTGGAGTGTGTGTTGTTCTCTGCACATTCAACAGGAATAATCAGTGTGTGTCAGTGAATGCATCTTGTGTGCTTCATAATTTCAGTTGATGTGCACATGAATGATTTGTGTTTCCTCTGCAGGTGAAAGTAGAAAGTGTGTGTGAGCTGATGTGAATTCAGCAGCATGGATCAGTGTGAGGACAGAGAGGAGGGAGTCCCTCTCTCTAAAACCACTCTGTGTGGGGAACATGAGAGCCAGACCAAAGCTCAGAGGTAAAATGACCATCTCTAACTTTCCATGACTTTTCTCCATGTCACAGCTCAGCACTCACATCACTGCTCCACCATTATTCACAGGAACCAACCTGGACCTACACCTAGCTGTGTGTCCTTACAGAGCAGCGACTCTAAATATCACTACATTGATTTTAAAGCCCAGCAAGCATCTGCTGCAGAGAGGTGAGCTCTTTAAGTTCATGTACAATAAATAGTTCATGTACAATAAATAAATAAATAAAACAACTGACTGTGGATTTTCAAACTGTACAAAGTCTAGTTACCTCTGTACAGAAGTCCCTGAGCCTCTGATCCTTGGGATATTATCACGATAGGTTAATGAAAACTTATTTAAGCCAGTGGTAAGCAGGGTTCCCCAACACATACTACCTCATCTGAATGGTTCCCCCTCAAGTAAGGGGGAAGATACAATCAACAGCCATCTTCATTAATAGTAGGACCAGCAACTGAGCACGAGATTGATTAATTACATTGAATTTCAGAGAGGATACATTATAATTTAATTTAGCAAGGGCAACGCAAACAGCATAATCAGTTAAAAATAATCAAATCATTGTGAAATTGGGGTGTTGCCCAGAGTATAACTTCATGTTCCTGCATACTGTGGTGTTTTTATGTAGCTTACCTGAAAAAAAAATTGTATAAACGTTTATATAACTTCTTATTTCATTGTGTATTCCTTACGTATCCAAAGTGTCTTTAGGGTTTCGCTAGCTTAGCTTATCTCGTAGCCGACTTGCTAACAGCATGGCCTCTTCAACTGTCCCCCTACACTTTCCTGCTCATTGTGTTGGATATTTAGTTACTCCTCTGCCTTCTTTAGCAGTATTGATACTTGTAATAAATGTAGCCTATTTACAGCTCTGGAGACAGGAACACTGAACTGGACACTCGGCTTCGCACACCCTGAAAAACCTGTAGCTAGCCAGGCCCCTGTAGTAGGTACAGCTGAAAATAGAATAGGCCCCACTAGCTGTCCCTAGGGATACACTCCCCAAGCGGCCAGGGAAACAGGATGGCTGGGGGACAGTGAGGCAGAAGCATAGTCTTAAACAGAAGCCTTCTAGGGGGATTTAGGTAGATGATAAAAATGACAGCCTCAACATGGCATTTAATCTGTTATTAGACTCAATTGGCTTCTCTCAAAATGTAAAAGAACCCACCCACCACTTTAACGACACTCTAGATCTTGTTTTAACATATGGAATAGACACTGAACATTTAACAGTGCTTCCTGAAAACCCTCTCCTGTCTGATCATTTCCTGATAACATTTAAATTTACAATAATTGATTACACAGCAGTCGGGAGTAGACTTCTTCACAGTAGATGTCTTTCTGAAAGTGCTGTAACTAAGTTAAAGAATATAATCCACCCACTGTTATCATGAAGTCCAACACAGAGCAGAGCAGCCACCTGAACATTTCTCCAACAATAAACATGGCCAACACCATTGCTGTTGTGTGTGTCACACATGATACTCGTTTCCCTCGCTGCTCTGTCTCTTAGTTCATAGTTTCCATTTTAAATTTTATTTTATTTTCTTGTTTGTTTTGTTTTGTGTTTTCTGCATCAATAAAGCTTCCGTTTTCAGTTACCTCCTGTGTGTTCAAGTCATGCATTTGTGCCCAACCTTTGCCTGCCACACAGCACATTCATGAGAGTTTGATTATGATTTTATTTCCACTTGATTCTGCACTATTCTGCATTAAACGTTCAGTGTAACTGAGTCCTGACTGATTTTTCTAATAATGATAACATTAAAATAATGTCTTGTCTTGTTGTTATAATGCCTCATTATGTTAATCTTATTTTTCCTTATTCCTCCAGAATTGACCGGGAGAGCTCAGAGATTCCCGGCGGTCAGCCTTCCCAGCAGCATCAAACAGATCTGAACCCTATATTTATGGTGTGTACAACAACTACTTTTTTTTTCTTTTTTAATGTTGTGGCTCGGGAAGTAGAGCCACTTTTCCATCAAACACAAGGTTGGTAGTAAAAACTTTGGGAATCCAGTTCTGCACCATTTAAAGCAAATGATACATTCTGGCAGCTGAGCATGCCCAAACAATTTTAAAGTATGTCTTGTTATATGTACCATTTACTAATTTGACCAATCTTGACCTCAGCAGCTGCATTTTATCCATCAACTCTTTACTGTATTCTGATTGTCCAGTGTTAGGTCTAGTGTCTAGCACTAGGCTTCAAACATTCCTTTTTGATAAAGCTAATACATAAGGATGGATCAGGTGATCCATAGATATAGATCACCTGATCTATATCTATATGTCTATCTCTGAAGAGACAGATATCTGTAGATAGAGAGTGAGAGATAGATATCTCTTTACTGTGTGCATCTTCCATTTCCTGTTTTTTTTTGTGTTTGTCATTCTTAATCTCCCTGTTTTCCTGTCTTGTCTTTTGCCAGCCAATGAGTCAGTATTATTGGGTGAC